GCATAAAATCTAATAGTAGAATCATTATTACTGCACCCTTACATAATTTTGACTAATTAGTATTTGAAATACCCCAATGTGACATGTATAGCGATTTATCCGTTAGTTTGGTATATTGCAAAATCCAAGAGTCGAAATTACACATGAAATCATTTGTAGTTGCATTGATGATGATTGTCAAGGAGTGAAAAATGTGTTATCATGCATTACACGTTTATTACAAGCTCAAACAGATGTATTAAAGAATGACAATGATCAGGATGAAGAGCGAGATAATAAGCGTTATAAGAAAAAATAGATTAATATAATAATTTTACAATTTGTAGAGATTAGCAACAAATGTTTTACCGTTCATAACAAGGGTTTATAAATCTCTTACGTGTAATTAATTATTTTCAATTTGATCGGTCTTATAATTTTTTTTAGTTTCGTATATAGAAACATCATGTATCACAGACTGCAACCCGAATTATCTATATATTCCATCTGCCACTTTTCGGTGTAATTTTGTTTTTTTTTTATTTGTAAGTGTACTATGTTTATATATTTATTATATATTAGCAGAAAAATAATATATACATATTTTTACAGCTGTAATAAATACTAACCTGCAATGTGTAGCACTTGTAAATAAACCTTAGGTCAAGATCTGTTGATTGAATGCCTATATTTAACAAGCATATTATTGGTATGTATAAACTTTATTATATATATATAAATTTAATTATATACTGTAATTATACTTATATGATTTATTAATAAAAAATATTTGTCATGTTGGCATCAACTTGGGGACGCGATTTGCACTATTTATATTTGTGTAGTATTAAGCTTTAAATATGGGGTCTTTGCCTTGAAAATGACCTTATGGTACATGATACCATAAGGTCATTTTCAAGGCAAAGACCCCATATAATCTGCGCTATATGTTTGAATTCTCTCGATCTTTTCAATTCCTATCCTCTTAACTACTTTTTTGGTATCAGAGTCATAACTTTCTCCGAACAACTTACTAGCCTTTGCTGTTTTCTTACACAAACTTTCCCTTGTGAACCCGGAAAATTGGTTGCGATTTCACTATATACTAACCCTCTAGCTTGTTGGTCATTGATCCTACTATTCTCATTTTTTATTTCTTTAATTCTTTCTTTAAATTTTTTAGCAAAGGTACCAGCATCTTATTTCTTCTTGGTAGGTACAAGTTACACGTTTTTCTGCCCGGCTTGTATTATAGTATAACTGGAGTAAAGTTTTTGGTTTTGATTCTTTGCTTTTATTTTCTCTATCATTATCATCAATCGGCTCACTTGGCATAGATAGTTCTTTTATTAAACCTTGTACTTTATCAGGTTCCATAGATTTTGTCTCACTTTGTGGGATAGCTTTACCACCGTTTACAGATAACTTATTTGCCACTCCTGTTAGTTTTTCATCTCCTGCTACATCTGGTATATCTACAACATGAATTTCAGCTGATGCCGTTTCTCCATTATCTACGAACAAATGGGGCAAGTTTTTTGCTTATCTCTATTACTTTTTTCATAACAGTCATGATGGAATATATAATCATACACTAGCTTAGTAAATGCTTTGACAAAATTTCTTTATTACACTCCTAGTAATTCTCTAGCTCTGGTATTGTGATATTGCTTGTGAGCAGGGATGGTAAATGACCTGGTCATTTGCTTAAAATTTAAATGACCTAGTCATTTGGCTAAATGACCCAGGTCATTTGGTCATTGGTCATTTGGGTCATTTGCATATTAAGTAATTTTATTGGTCAGATAGCTAATATAAAAAGTTATCAAATACTATGATTATAAAGGTCAAACTTTTACTAAGTTTATCGATATTTACATCTTAAGTAAAGTTGTTTAGAAGAATGAATTGCATATACTGTATCTTGAAATTTTTATCATATTAATATTCAGAACAACTTTACTTAAGATATAAATATCAATTAACATAGTAAAGTTTTGACTTCTACGATTATTATAAAAACTACTATTTGTCTAATAATCAATTTGATTGGCTAAAAGCATTATATTATCAGTTAACAAATATTAAATGACTCATTTGAATGTTAAATGACCCAATGACCGGTCACTAGTCATTTGGGTCATTTCAGATCATTTACCATCCCTGTTATAGTGTATTGTTTCTTCTTTTTTTTGTTCTATATATTTTTTTTTCTTTTTTGTAGAGTTTTATGTGGTTTTATTGTAGTATTTATTTGGTATTTTCCCAGCTGGTTCTGACTTCCCTTTTTTTTCTTTGATCTTGATATTTTTTCATTGAGTAGTTAGAGTTTTCTTTCTACTTGAAAGTTAGAAGAAGAAGATTTAGAATTTTAAAAAAAGAGAAAGCAATCTTGATGAGCTGTAAATGCCATCCAGTAATGTACTAGATTTTACATTTGGAGAGAAATTTTATTATAGCAGATCACACATGGGTAATTTGGACATTAGTTACAAAGAGCCAGGTGAGTCAGTACTTGTAATTTAGGTCGAATGCCTTAGCCCAGTATTAAAGTTTTGCTTCATGTTATGTATGAGCACTACCTAATAAAGTTCTGGCAAGATTACCAAAGTTATATAAAAAAAATAAAAAAATAAAAATTATTTTATTATCTTTATATCTATATTTTTATAGTTATTATATAATAAATGTTTAATAAATAATTTATACTTTTATGGTGTCAGTTTTATAATTTTTTTCTAATATATTCTCATCTAAATATTTGTAATATTGGCAGGTAGAATTTTAGAATTTTCGGACAAATAATTTAGGATAACTTCTAAAATAAAGCTATGTATCCGAAAATAGAGATTTCTACTTATCTCCTTATTGGCACAGCAATGATCGACATAATCACTGCTATATATTAAAATTAAAGCGAATAAAATTAAATCCTTACAATTAAATTATACAAAATAATTTCGATATCGTATTTTATTCTTGCTTTGAATTCAAAGTATCGATCATTTCATTTCAAACCTTAAATCTGGTTAAGTGAAATAATCACTATCATAGGCGATCAGTAATTATTTTTTATTTCACAACAACTATGTAAGGGAACTAACACTTATTACGTAAATTTGATAATTGCAAATTCTAATGTAATCAATTTTATCAATTATGTTTTTTGATTACATTAGAATTTGCAATCTCAAATGGGGGAAGGCTATATTTACATAATAAGGGTTAGTTCCCTAAAATGGTCTCAATTTAAGGTTTGAAATGAAATAATTATCTGAAAAGTTATTTTATATCGATATTGTAGTAAACATTTGAATCGGTAGACCACGGGGAGCGACGAATCAGAGATCAATGGATTCGGTTATCATTGGCCACTGCCTAAGATTCGGGTATACTTACTATCCTTATCCTTACCAACTGTTTCTTGAATAAGATCCGGGAATATAAGTACGCATATTGATTGATTAATTTTAATATAATTTAATATGTGCGGAAAACTTATTATCAATTTCTTGTATCGATATTAGTGGAATTAAAATAAAAATCAAATTATAATTAGATGATTATCAATTTAAAATTAACTACTATCAGATTTTGATAATATTCGAAACGCTTTGTGTTTATTCTTTTTAACATTCTTTATATTAATGACCAATCATAATTATTCCATCATCAGCCATGACTAAAATACGTATAACATGACTTGCTTACCAATTTAATCATTAATATAATAAACTACGTTGTAGATCTGCAGCTTGAAGCGAAGTGTGTCCAAAAGTGTATTTACGTCAATCGTTAGTACTTTCACATTATATAGTAAAAAAATATAGGATAATTTAGGATAGTTTTGGACAATTTAGGAATTTTAGGACATCAAAAACAAATCCTTTTATTTTAGGATAACCCGAAAACCAACTCTAGTGCACAGTGATTCTTGATAAACAAACTTTCAATATAATAGAGACTAAGCAAATTTTGCTTGATATAATGGATTAGTTAATTTTTTTCAAACAGTACGTTATCAGTTATATCAAGAGTCACTATGTATTGCTATTGATTTGATAATAACGAACACAGTACTTCATAATGTTTAAAAGATAGCATAAATGGCAACTACTCAACTGTAAACCTGAATTATTAATAAATAACGATTACGCAACGATTTTAATAGGTTCGTGAACCGAGTTTTTCCTCAAGTCATGCAATCAACATAGACTATGAAATTAGTATTAGAGAGGTTAAAAGTCCGATTCCGGTCTGGTCCTTAAAATTCTGGCTTTGAACTACACATCACTCTGACATTTTTGAGACATTAGTAAAAAAATTCAAAATGTCGGTACAGTGAGTTATACCGACATTTTGTATTAAATTTTTGAAAAAAAAATGTCGGTATAGAAAGATTTTACTATCATCAGGAAAATTTAAAACCTGATTAGAATCGGTTGCAAGCAGTTAATCGATTATAATCGATTATAGCGCTTTGCAAAAAGATGTGAACATGTGATTTTAGTGATGATGATGGCTAAGAATTACTAAGATTCTAGATTATCCATTACTTTATATTTTCGATTTGTTACGCTTATATTTCTTTTAAATCAGTTTAATTCTTAAAATCTCAAAAAATCTATAAAATCTCCGATTCTCACACGAAAAAATGATCTGCAGTGTTTGCAAAGCGCAATAATTTTAAGCGATTATTATCGGTGGGGATGATAATAATTGATTTAAATCAAAATCGATAATAGTCGATTATGATTAAAAGCGATTAAATTAAATCGATTATAATCGATTAGTTCTAATAAAAATCTTTATCGCGTGTAATCGGCGGTGATGATAATAATCGACTAAAATCATCAGATTTTAAACGATTACAATCAGCTTTCAAAATTTCCTGATGATGATGTCGTTATATCCAGATGTCATTAGAAAACTCAGTTTAATATATGATATGGGATCTTTGCTAGGAAAATCACCCTTCGGGATTTTCCGATCGGGCTAATTCGGAAAAGTTTAGACCAGAATGGTTGGTTCTTATTCATATGTAAAACACCTTTTTACTTTACAGATTCAACAGCTTATTTAATAAAATATCAAATAAATAAAGCAAAAGGTGAACATATGAATAAAAACTGGCATTCTGATCTAAATTTTTCCGAATTACCTCGATCGGAAAATCCCGAAGGGTGATTTTCCTAGCAAAGATCCCATATGGGTGTCGACAAGCGAAAACAGGGAATTGTGAGTTTCCGAAATTATTTTACAAATAAAACCCCGAAAAAATGTGATTTAACACACCATATAATTTATGTCGTGCTTAATTTAAATTTATCAGGAATCGGATCAGAAGCGGAGCCGGCAAAAATCGAAATTCCCTGTTTTCGCTTGTCGACACCCATATGATAGTTGAGTTTTGAGTATTGTGATCACATTTAGATCAATATAAATTAGTCAATCAGAATCGTAAGGTTATGGCTAGTTCTGAACTGTCTCTATAAAGTCCCAGTCCGAGTGGACTACTTAACATCACTATATTAAATCAGATCTCATTAATAAACCCAAATATTGATACAATACCGTATGCAGAGTAAGGTTCATTAATATCATATTACTAATAATAGCACAATCAATTTGAATTAATGGATTATTTTAAAAAGTGCAGTTCAGAACCCGAACCTTAATTTACTCTATAGTATCTGATATGGTACCTTTAGGTCTTGGGAATGGACTAAATGGTACATACCATTTATAACGATATTTAGAAAATAAAGGATACTTAATATTAACTTTACATGCATTAAGACATATTATTTCATGTCATACTGTATGTAAAGCATAATTTATGAAATGCCGTGTCAAACGAACTAAATCACATGGAGAGAGACTAAGGCCTAATTTTTTGTTTATCTTAAAAAACGCCCAGCACGTGTATAAGATTTATGAATGTGAAATACATAAATATTATAACCTAACGTTCTTGTGTATAAAGCATTCACACGAGAATCTAATTGTAATGTTACCAAATTGGTGAAAAAAGTACATGAGATATGCATTAGCACATTAAGGGTTCGCATGTACGTACGTAAGTACGTATAAGCAAGAACAGCGCGTCTTTGTCAAAAATAAAGCATATGATTATTGTTTACGAATTATAATTAAAATAACGAGACAGAATCAGGGATGGCGTGTCGGGGAATAGGAGGAACACATTATATTGTACTGTACAGTATGATATGGACAGTATTTAGAAAGGAATCACCAAACCAGGAAGGTCCAATCGTTTAAGTTCCAAATACTCCAAATGAGAAAACTAAAAGAGATCATGCAAAAAAATTATTATGAAAGAATTACAGCGCAATAATCGCGTGTACATCTTCATTGTTAAATGTTTTAGCAAAAACTCTAAAAATTAAGATATGTATCACACCCTGCGATTTTTTATATAAATAAAAAAAAATTGATCATAAGGTAGGACATCGTGAAACCATTTTTAAATTATATAAAAATTTAATCATAAAACCATTAATTTTGAGCTACACTGTGGTAATGACAAGCAGAACTGATATGCAGAGTGCA